TTGATCTGGATAAGTCCATTATGGTCTATAGTGGAGAAAGGGTTAAACTCAAATTCTGAGTACCATTGTTGATTGGTTATATAAAGCCTTATTTACAAGCATAACAGCAGGTATGTTTAATACTTACTCCTTTCTCTGTAAGGATTTTACTGGATTCCTCTAGGTAGGAGGCTGCCTCGTACCAGATGTCTGGGTGATGCCCTAGACACAGCAAGCTCTGCTCATAGGCAAACATCACTGCAACAAAAAATGTTATCGTTCAATGGGAGCTAGGTTTGAGCTTACACATGTATCTATATGTGGGAAAGTGTAGCACCACACAGTTTTATTCTTATATACAAACTTACACCGGATGATCTAATGACAAAATATATTTGACTTTTTTTGTTAGATTCTGCATTAAACCGTACCTTGACGGTTAAAATCCTGTTTTCTTTTGAATGACTCATTTAAGCGGGACATGGATATAAACATTGCAATGCTCCCTGTAAAATGGTGGGGTATAAAAAGTTGGGAGAGGCATGTATGTCAAATAAGGCGCACGGCAAATTTTCAGTACTGTGCCCTTAATGTACTGCCACCAATAAAACAAAGGGCATATCAATGGTTTTAATACTATGTTTTATGTCTCCAAAAATTATATTCTTTACCTCGTCTCGTGATGAGAGCATGATCTTCTGTCCTTAGCGGGTTGCCTTTCTCCCAGGCTATGTACTTTTTCCACAGCTCAACCTAGTATTTAATAATAAATATAATAATATTAAGATCGAAGCACATTTCCTATACATGTACAACTAAGTGATCATGTTTTCCCCCATATATTCAATTAAATCAGAATTTTGATAAAATCAACTTAGCTAGATACTAATGTCAGATGCCATCAGAACATCTGGAAGGCATTTATGCACAACCATAGTGGTGACTCTGTATACAACACTTGGCAGAGTTCATTAGAATGGCACCAGAATTACTGACGAAAAGGACATTGTAACTCCAAACCCTTACACTGGTTAGTAAAGTATGTATATAGGCATACAAATACACCTCATGACTAACTAATTAGAGTTCAAATGCATCATCTGCCAGCCACAAATTATATGCATTGAAAATATATTTCAAAATAGCGTAATAAAATACCCTATAAAGGTGTATCTTCTAGAGAAATGAGCATTAGGGATGTAAATAAAAAGTTCATTACTTCTGATACAATTTTGGATTCGCTATACTGATACCTGTTGTGCCTCCTCTGGTGAGTTGGATGGAGGAATGGAGGGAAGACTTTTGTTGAGTCCTCGAGTCACAGCTTCGTACTCCTTGGCAACTCTTCGGGCATTCATGTAATCTCTTCCTCGATCTTCTGTCATCTTTTTCGCAATCAGTGGATTTATGTTCTGTCATAGAAATTTATAGATTAATATTGGTACAAAAGTGTACAAACATCAAAAAGAAATGCATTTCTTATAGGAACAAAACTGAAATGATGAATATCTTATCATTAAATACAGAAATACGTCAGAATCAAATGATGAATATCTATCATTAAATATAGAAATACATCAGATTTAGAGATTTTGATCTACCTAGAACTGTTCAATTGTAATTTTCTTCTTTTGACTCTTCAAGTTATTCGCAACGAGAAAAAATCTACTTTGGTACTTCATTTTAATAGGTATTCTGCCACCTAAGCTACATTTTAGTGCTTCCTCCCCACTCTTAATTTATTTTTATTTTTTAAATTGGTGTCTGAAATGCTGTCTCTAGTAAATAACCTTTGTAAAATTATGTTTTGAAATATAAACTTTTGCTTATCCACCTTAATTTTTTTGCGAGTCAAAATCAGAAACAACATTTTGTCTGGACTTAAATCATTCACCCTGAAATATCATTATGAACTCTTCAGGGGTGAATGAGTTAAAAGTCTGAATTCTACTATTGCATTGATCAAGACAATTTACAATTAAATTATGCTGGTTGATGGAGTATACCGACATCATTGGTTACTACAATGATCACAAGGGTGTTTAAGATGTAAATGTTGAAGCCAAAATTATCCAAGAGTGATCATTATACCAAGGGAGATAATCCTGACAGCAAAATACCTACATTTTCGTATGCACAGTAGTCCTTCCAAAGGGCCTCTATGTTGATCATTGGGTTGACCACACCTCGCTGGTACACCTTCCTCACAGCTGTGATGCGCTGGTTCTCTGCATATGATCCAACAGCATCCCTGTAAATGTGCCATAACAAAAATTATTGCAAGAAACATAACATCAATTTCTTTAACAAGTTTGAAACAGAATCAATAACTAGTAAAACTTGCTTAGCTTGAAGGATCCAGTGTCCAGGTTTTCAATATTGTAGGAAAATACAAAGGATTATGCATAAATCA